ACAGTTGGATCAGGATCACTTCCCAGGTAGGCTCCTTGCCCCTGGATGTTTGACCTCTTTCCAAGACAAGAGGAATGTATTTTGACTTATTAACCTGCACTGCCCATTTTTTATGGGTATCTCTTTGAATTTCTAGGGCCAATTGCTGTTTGTGATTTGTGATGGGTTCTTGCCCTTTCTTTCTGGTTTCCTGGGCGTATAGTAATATGGGCTATAAGCTCAGAGGCCTTTTGCCCCTGTAGATCTTTTTTTCTGTTGGGCCTTTTTGTAATAATTAGAAGGGTGTTTTGGAAGCCGGTACATCAAATTAGATATAATTGTAAAAAAATATATCGAATAAAATATTTTAGAAAAAGTATACAGCTGATATACAAAGACGTAAATGCTTATTTTGTAAAATTTTCTTCCTTAAAAACTTTAACAAGACATTTATTAAGCGCTAAAATTTATGGTCATTTAACTCAAAATATCTTATTTTTAATGCACTTTGATTCATGAATATTTTTTTTTGAAAAATAGTTTTATTTTCAAATTATATTTATGCATTAAATATTTACTACTACTAGTTTTATAGAAAAATTTTAATATTTGTTTATTTTAAAATATATCACTTGTTCAAAATTTGTTAATATCCGAACTTCATAATAGTGTAACAAAAATAGTATAACAAATACACTGTAACAAAGACAGTGTAACAATACACTGCAATAAAAATAGTGTTCAGTAGTTTTATGTATGTAATAACAAATTCAAAACGGAGATGCACTATTTTGAATGAAATTATATGAAAATATATATTTGACAAAATGTAATAATACAATATTTTGTGTAAATGACTTGTTACAGTGTTATTGTTACACTGTTCGGATATTAATATAATTTGAAAACAAAACCTATTTCCAAAAAAAAAAAAAATACACATGAATCAAGATGCATTAAATATAATTGGAAAACAAAACCACTTTTCAAAAAAAAAATATGCATGAATCAAGGGAGGACATACAAATATGAAATATTAAAGTTCTCTCATAAAATTAGGAGATGTTTAATACACCACTTTTCAAAAAAAAAATATATATGGATTAATAAAGGACAAAAATGTCACGAAAAAATTAGTAAAATTCAAATAATGTATTTAGATACAAATAAGTATCAAAATTAAGAACTTAATTATTCAACAATTTTTTTTTGTGTATTTTTTTACAATTAACTCTTATTTAGTGTACCCTCTTATAATTTCCCGTAATTAGAATATATTCGCTATTTTCTAGGTTGATCCACCATCTGGCCTTTTAATGATAATGGGTTTTCTTCTCCCGGATTTGGCTTTCATCCATGGGGCGTAGTTCATATCCTCCTTATCACCAAGATTATTATTTGTATCTTTTTCATCGCGTTGGATCAGTTTAGGGTTAGTTAGCTGTTGTTTTGATAAATTAGTCATAACCTGTGCCTGAATGTACGATTAAATATAAAATTTGAGAATCCAAAAAATTGATCCTATTATATTATTTTTTTTCAAAATATATTAATTACAAATTAATCAAATATTAAATAATTAAAAATATGAAAAAAATAAAGTGATGTGATGTTTTTAGGGAAAAAAATATATAAATGATTAAATATATGATAGAAATAAGTGATGCAATTTGACATTTGAGTCTGATAAATGGATGATAGGTGAGAGAAGTAATTAATGATGGTTTTGAGAGGAAAAATATGACTGAGATAAAATTCAAACACACTCCTGTTTTATTATATAGATTAGGCCTTAATATTGAGTTCCGTGTCTCCCAACAAAATATTATATATTAGGTATTGGATTAATAGGCTTCTATATCCTAACAACCTCAATTTTAATTCTCAAATTTGAGTTCAACTAGGCATTAATTTTGGTTGAGTTTGAATCAAGGTTCAGGATATTAAGAACTCAATCTACGTACTTATCAAATGTAAATCACATTACAATTTTTTTGCCTTGCTCAATCTAAACATTAGAAATTCTTATCCAACTATTTAAATTTTACGTTGAGTTCCAATTAGCCCACACAACCTACGACCATATTTAAAAAATAAATGATCTCTTTTTAAAATTTTATGGATATCCTATGATATAGGGTATCCTATGGTCCAATCTCTTAAAATAAATAATTCAAAATAAATTTAAGTTGAATCTATTAATAAATGGTAGTGGATTCTATTAAAACAGGTCGAACAACTAATCATTCAAAAAAAATTTAAAAAAAAATTATATTAAGGACCCAGAAATCTATATTCAATTTTCATTGGGCAAAGAGGAAATGAAATAGAGAATCCTAATGAGCCCATCCGCACATGGTTGGGCCAATCATATTGGGCTGGACAATTTAATCAAACTTTGATTGGAAATGCGTAAATAAGAAGAAATGGAGTAACCAGCGTTCTATATCCTATGCCTTTTTCATTCTTTCATTTTATAGAAACTAGTGATGCAGACTTCTATAGCCTTTAGCCTTTATAGTGCAGTCAACTTCTTTGGTATTGATGAAAGCTCCTTATTTATAAAACTTGTTCAAACTATCCGGCAATATCCATTTGATTTGGTCTAGTCTGGTCCTTAGTTTTTTTCTAGGTTGAATTGTTAATAAATCAAAAACTTTATGAAGTGGGTTCGATTTCGACTCGAATGCAATTTTCATCATCTAAAATCAGAAACTTTATAAAGTGGGTTCGATTTTGAGTCGCATGCAATTTCCATCAATTAAAAAAAATTCAAATCTCCTCCATTATTATTTCTCGTTTTAAGAAAATTATTCGACATATTTTATAAAGGGTGGGGCTATTCCCACTTCCTAAATCTCTATTTCCACTCATTTTTATATTCATTCTATTATTAACTAAGCTCACCCTATGCTACATCTATCACTTTTAAAAGAAAAGAATGAAACAGGGGAAAAAAAAAAAAACAAACCGAAACAAGAAGGAAAAAAAAAAAACCAAACAAAGATTAAAGGAACAAAACAAAACTACAAAACACAAAACCACAAGACGCAAAACTGGACATAAAGAAAAAAGGTATCAAGCACAAACACAAAATCGAACTAGAAAAAAAATAAGAAGCATAGATGTAAAACATAAACAAGATAAAAAAAAAAAAATTATTCTGAAAGCATATATATATACATACATACATATAAATTTTAAATAAAAAATTATTAAACTTGACAGAGATATCAAAATATACCGAACGTAATAAAAATCCATACAGCAAACATGAAATCAAACATAGAATTAAATTGAAAAGTAATATTAACTTGTATCTCACTGAAAAAATTTATATTGAAAAAATATTTGTGTGAGTACATGAGATAAAATAGAGAATGAAACTCTAATTATGACAAAATGTAAGATGAGTTTACTTATTAAATGAGATATATATAACATGGGGTGAACTTATTACTTACTAATGAGGTGAGTATAGAAAGAAGCACCAACGAACTTTTACTTCAATGATATTTCTTGTCTTATGAAGGTTTTATCTTCTTAAGATTAAGGGTTCAAATTCCCTCTTTTCTCTACCCCTTTCCCTTCCCACCCACCCACCGACCCACCCAACCAACCAAAAAAAGTAAATTGGGTACAAAATTTTTTTAAAAAAAGTATAGAATGGGTGAATTTAATAGTTTGATAATAAAAAATTAAATAGAGTAAAAATAGAGATTTATGGGATGAAAATAACCCCACCCATTTATAAATCTTATTCTCACTTAAATGGATAATGGCTGAGTCATTTTTAAGAAAGTGAATGGTTTGATATTGTTCAAACTCCAAAGAACATGGATTCATGAACCAAAAGAGATTCTTCCTTCAATTTTACTTTTATTATTTTGTAACAATTTGTTCAGAGACATTATTTTATTATATTATATATTATCATTCACAAAGAAGATTTACCCACTCGCAGCCTAATCCGTTCATTTCCCATTGACTATGTGGGGTTGGAATTAGAAGTGAGCAAGCTTGCTTCAATTTGATCATTTAATCGTTACCACACGCGCATGGAAGCGCGTGATCAGCATCCCTTGTCAACAAACAAATTGCACATAATCTCGCACGATTATCACCCTCATTAATGCATCGGCCCGGTAAATGCTCTAATTGTCTAAACCGCCATGTCTTTGAGAGAAATTACATTTGAGACCCATAGCTTTTTCGGAAACTACCAATTTGAGCAATAATTTACCTGGCAGAAGCAACGCCAAGTATGTGCATACATTAGAAAGAAATACTTGCACATAGATACTTGTCAACAAATAGGTGGGAAAAAATATAATTATTGTGAACATTGGTGTATTTGGAGAGGCCAGCAGCCAACGTTCAATCATATTAACCACTGATCTTATAGTGATATATGTGATTTGTTATTATTTGATCTAAGATTATGTCAAACATTATTTTCGATTAAGCGAAATATTACTCTACATAATCTTGCACATATTGCAAAAGCTTTAAATTAGAAGCGGGTTATTTATCTAATTTTTATGCTTAAAAAAATAGTCTAACACGTGATTCTGTAATCATCGAGATGTAAGGAGCCTTATTCCGACTGTGGTGACATTATTTCTTCGACTTGATCCTATAGTTGGGAATAACAACCTCCTTTATTTAGTTTTTTTTTTTTTTACGGTGAGGGGTATTCGAGTCAACTTATGCGTATCTCGACTAATCTTCTCTATGATTCGATCATAAACAGGTCATTCACGCTAAAATTAGAATATTCACGAGGATAAATTTCGTATGACTGGATCCTAAGAAATTGTCAAAATTCAATCTATTGAGACCTAATCCAATCCAATATAACCCCTGACAAACCAAAGAACTGGGAAGGGCATTTTGGTTATTGCCACATACACAAAACATGTGATAACTTAATGCTATGCATTGCGTCGTGGTTTAATGCTTAAGCCTAGAAGAATCACAATGCAATGGATAATCTTCACTTGGCTTGCCTATATAAACAGAGTCAACCAACCCCTCTCAGCCATCTCTCTCTTTTCCCGCACATTCACTGTACCTTTTTCTTATCACTTTGATCACCTTTTGCCTACCAAAAAGGATGTCTCAGAGGGCGAATCGACACCAGAGGAGGCCATCACAAAGCGTGTTTGTGTTCCCTGACAACCTCTCAGCTCCTTTCTCTGACAATGATGGAGGAGATAAGGTTGCTCCGCCAAGTCAGGTTCAGCTGCCACCTAAAGAAAACGGTGTGGTGCCAATACCGCCACCAGCAAAGTCCTCGGAGTCGGAGGAAGTGGCCAAAGATATTGATAATGAGAGAGAATTGGTTGCAGCCACCGAGAAATAAAATGCCTTTTGCTCTTACTGTAATTTGTTGGCTAGTTGTTTCTGTATGTTGTTGTAAGAGCATGAATGGATGTCTCAAGAACTGAGATTTTCGTCATCGTAATCAAATTTATAAAAGGGTTCATATTTTTCTCTCTCTAGGGTAAGATTTATTTCCCGGGATTTTATCGGATAGAATTGTACATGTCAATACGGGTGAGTTTACAAAATGTCAAGATGGATCATAAAATATCTAGATCTATTAATGTGATTTTATGCTATGCCTTAATCAATTGAGAACATGATACTTTCAAACAATCTCACTTGGTCCATATTGATGGTTTTGTGTATAAAATTAAGCAAGGGTTAATTGTACTGTAGGTCTCCAAAATATAGAGTTTGTTTCATTTTGGTCTTTAATGTTTTAATTGCATCATTTTGGTCCTTGAAGTATTAAATATGTTTTTATATCATCTCTCAAGCAGATAGTGTCTAAATTGTTGATGATTTTTTATCATAAACTTGTTACGTGATACTTAAATATGGATACAAAAATAATTTGAATAATTATTGACCAAATTTTTACACAAATTTTGGTTAAATAACTGCCTAAATTACACAGTTTTGATCATAAACTATCCAAATTTTGGTCAAAAAGTACTCATATTACACATTTTTTTTATCAATAGCTATCCAAATTTTGTTTAAGAGTTATCAAAATTATTTTTTGTCCATATTTAGGTATTACGTGACAAGTTTATGATAAAAAATCGTTAGCAATCTGGACATTGTCTGCTTGAAGGACCATATAGAAAAATATTCAATACATTTGGGACTAAAATGATACAATTAAAATATTATGGACCAAAATGAGACAAATCTCATATTTTAGAGACCTTTAGTGCAATTAACCCATTAAACAATTAAATGTGTGAAAATATATTTAAAATATCAAGCTATTAGATTCATGCATTTGGCTTTGAGAGGTTGAAACAGACCGATGGAATTGAGTGCAGAAATTATTTATCACACCAGTAAGGTTCTTCTTATTATTTTTTTGACCAAAATTTTCTTATCAACTTACTTGTGTGCAATTACAATCCTTGTATTGTTGTCAGACCTATTGACACTCACTAATCTAATAGTCTATACGAGTTGATAATGATAACTTTTTCAAATGTACCATTATTATTTTTCACATACATTGGGATGAGCAAACTATCTCTATTTTGAATATTTACATATGACAACACTCGATAATTTTACTTACCCCATAAAATAAAAAAATGCAATTCCCCCCCCCCCCCCCCACCCCCCTCTTCCCCTTTTTTAATGAAAATTTGCCAAAATGGTTTTGAACTTGGCCTTCAACACCAACTTTATACATATGATTTACACCAACTTTATACAATAATTTAGATTTACACATAGGACATTCTCATCCTCTATCTATTAGGCAAGTAACATGATAGGGTACACATATCTAAATTTGATATATTTAGATACTTTTTCAGATCTATTGTTGATACTAAGTAGCAGTTAAAAATTTGTATCCATTTTTTATGATATTATGCACGGGTTAAATACATTATCTTCTTTTGTGCGAGGAAATGATTCATCGAAATAATGAGTCATCATTGATATTGACACATCTGAGATCTCCAAATATTCAAAAGTTCCTCTGTGTATTTATTATAGTTATCAATAAACAATTTCCCTTACTTGATAAAAAAAAAAATCACTTATAGCACTCTAGATTTTAGCACATAAAAATCTAGATATTTGAATGCGTGCGCATATCATATACAATTTTTTAAAAACTAGACAAATATTATTTATCTTATATCAACATTAGCATTTTGAGGTTGTTTTGTTCAAATCGTAATTTCTTTATGTTTTTAATTTTTGAAAAAAAATTAATAATTAATTCAAATTTTATACTATATATACCCATTAAGTCTTATAAAATTTTTTGGTAGTATGAATAAGTCGTACTTTTTAAAAAATAATTTAAAGAAGTACACAATCTATTACATTTCTTATTCTACACCTTATAACTAGAAAAGAAATATTATTTTAAGCTCCAAAACATGTGATAATTTACTAAAAAATAAATTATCAATAACATTTTTAGTAAGTTATAATATTTTTGCATTTCATTGTATTCATAATTTAAAATTATTGATTACTAGTAATTGTTCGTGCCTGAAGGTACAAAGTAAAAAATAAAAAAAATAAATTGTTGTCAATTAAAAGACATACCAAATAAAAGAGCGCTAAAGACATTGAGGAATATATTTGAAGGCAATTTTTGGTTATACCTATCAACATACTTGCATCTAAGACTTCAAAATTAAGAATAAATTTCTATTATACATTACAATTTCATATTATCAATTAATCAAAAAAACTCTGAAACCAAACTATGTAATTCCATACAAATGACACGATCAATCAATGATATGACCAGTCAAACAGAATCTCCAAACGATCGGCCAATGGTTGGCCAGAGCTTCTTTTTCTTCTCTCTGATATTTCCTCGATGATCTAGAAATCATCTCATGAAATACAACAAGAACATAATACATACACAAACCTGTCAAATCAAGCAAAACAGAGACAATCATAAGTTAAGAACAAACCAATTCAACAAACAAATATTGAGCATCTTCATTAGCACCAACAAAGATATTTTCAAACTTGCAAAGAGCAAAACACACACACACACACATAGGTACATATACTTGTAACTTTGAGGCCAAGAGCTGTTATAGGAATTGGGTTTGCTCTGCTGTTAATTTTCATGATTATCGTTTGAATAAATTGAATCGTCTGAATTATTGCCATCATCTTCACCATGGTCGGAAGCCTTTTCCTCATCATCATCTTCACTACTCTTAATGTAGAACCTCTCATCCGATACTGAATTGTTCATTTTCTCCAATCTATTTCCGCAAAAACACCCTCTTAAAATTCCTTAAACTTCAATCACAGTTTCATCTTTGTCAACAACTATGACAAATAAATTTTAATTGCAAAGAAAATCTTGTACAATATAAATTTAGCTTTAATAATAATCAAATGAGATCAAAAGATTAAAAAAAAACCCTCTAGGTCATTGCTAACTCCATTAGTTCATATTGCAAAACCCTCTATATCACTTGTTTGAATTTCAAAATTTGTTGATATCCAAACTCCATAATAGTGTAACAAAAACAGTGTAACAAATACACTGTACCAAAAACAGTGTTCAGTAGTTTTGTGTCTGTGGTAACAAATTTAAAATGAAGATGAACTGTTTAGAATGAAATTATATAAAAATATATGTTTGGCAAAATATAATAGTAAAATATTTTGTGTAAATAGCTTGTTACACTACTATTGTTACACTGTTATTGTTACATTATTTGGTAAGAAATTCAAAACGGAGATGACTGTTTTGAATGAAATTATATGAAAATATATATTTGACAAAATATAATAGTACAATATTTTATGTACGTAAATAGCTTGTTACATTGTTATTGTTATATATATATATATATATATATATATATATATATATATATATATATATATATATATATATATATATATATATATATATATATATATATATATACGTATGAATCAATGTGCATTAAATATAATTTGAAAACAAAATCACTTTTCACAAACATTTGAATGAATCAAGGGAGTACATACTTAATGCATCAATTTCCAAAGAAAATACACATGGATCAATGGAGGACAAAAATGTCACAAAGAAATTAGTAAAATTCAAATAATGTACGTATATACAAATAATTATCAAAATTAAGGACTTAATTACCCAACATTTTTTTCTGAGTACTTTTTTACAATTAAGTCTAATTTGGTATACCTTCTTCCAATTTCTCCAAAAAAAAACCCTTCCCACCAAGAACGACTTCATTTTGGGATGCCCACCCCTTCTTCCTCAGCATGCCTCCTCTCCTTTGTCTCCGTCTTTCATTTTCGTTCACCCATTTGAGCCCTAAATCCCGCCCTCTTTTTTCCTTTCCCTTACCCGTCAGCATCGCGATCCACTCTCTTCACTGCATCGACAGCCACCCACAGTCACCAAATGTCTCTTAAATCGGGACATCAGTCTCCAACCTCCTTCATCTCTCTCTCTCTCACACATGGACCATCAGACAACCTCTAGTGACATCAGGCATGGTAGTTGAAGTCTCGAACTCAACAAGGCAACCAGATCTCAGTAATGAACAATCGAATGTAAGTCTTCTCTCTCTCTCTCTCCCTCTATTCTAGATCGATGGATTTCAATTTTAGCCCTAAATCAATGAAGGATTTCAAGTTTCTTTCTCATCCACTCAAAGCCTCGAACTTAGCCAAGACACTTGATCTGTCCTTTCCCCCCTCTCTTCTCTTTGTGCTTGCAACTCAAAGAATCTCAATTATTAAGGTTTTTTTTAAATTTTTTTCTCTATTTCTCTCTTCACACTATGCAACTCACAACTAGCCACTGCCCAAACACACTCACACCCAAATCGAACCATGACAAGCAGTATAGAATAACACCAGTTTCAGTTATGATTGAGTTCTTCCTTCAAACAGTCACTAGTTTATGGAACTAATCGATGCAGATGAATCCATATTGATGTCACCTTTCCTTTTTATTTTCTTATTTTCTTCTTTTGTTTGATTGTACATTGCATATTTATGTCTTGCTAAACATTTTGCACGTTGCAAAATATATAATAAAATCTATTATAGATGAGTTGCTTGTTTTTATAATTTAAATACAAGTTACATGATGACACTTTTTGTCTCTATCTGTTGTAACTAGTGTTTTAAAACCCGGCCCAGCCCGACGGGTTGACCCGGTGAACCGGTAACTAAACCGGGCCGGGTTTTATATTAGATCGTTTTAGCATAAAAATTGGCTAAAACCCGTTGAACCGGTGGTTCTTGAGTAAACCGTTCAAACCGGATGATTTTAAAAAAACTGGCCTGATTAGTTCAAAAGGTATAAATACC